TTTCTCAACCTCTCCCCCCCCGCTTCTCTTCTCCTTTTTTTTTTTTTTTTTTTTTTTTTTTTTTTTTGTCCAAGACAGGGTTTCTCTGTGTAGCTGTGGAACTTGTTCTGTAGACCATTTTGGCCTTGAACTTAGAAATCTGCCTGCCTCTGCCTCCCAAGTGCATATACCACCATGCAGAGATTCGTTATAGGGGTTCTTACCTCTTTGAAAGTGATAAAAGGTGGGAATCTGGTTAAGAGCTTGGCTGCTCTTCCAGAGGACTTGGCTTCAATTCCCAGCACCCCCAGGGCAGCTCACATCTGTCTGTAGCTCCAGTTCTGACTCCCTCACACAGACATACATGCAGGCAAAACACCAATGCACACATAAACAAACAAATAAGTAAATGCTTTTTTAAAAAGAAAGTGCTTACATTGCTGCTTTGTTTCTGGAAGTGTCAAGCTAAATTACTTCCTTTTCTTTCTACCTGTTGGAACCCACTTAAAATTCCTTACTGTAGAATTTTGGTGATTTGATTAAAGAGACAATATAATTAGTAAATACCATTCCTTTATCTGTAACTTTTCTGCCTCCTTCCTTTTGTTTTTATGGAGTCTTGATATGTTGCCCAGATTGACCCCATACACCTGTGTTCATTGATATACCGCTCTTGCATTCTGTACTGTCTGCCTTGCTCATTCTACAGTTACTATTATTTTTTTACTGTGGGTGTACACATATGAATGTGCATGTGCCAGGGCATACCAGTTTGGAGGGAGTGGACAAATTGTGGGAATTGATTCTCTCCTATCATTTGCTGGGATAACAGATATGTGCCACTACACCCATTTTAAAAGAATTTCTTTTCTTTTTTTAAAAATTGGTGCTACTGGGAATTTTACTACCTTATACAATTGAGGCAAGGACTCTGTCTACCACCAAGCTATATCGCTTGAGAGACTTGATAGCTGTTTTCAGTTTATTTATATTCATTCATTCATTCATTCATTCATCTATCCATTCATTCATTTATTTTGTTTTTTCAAGACAGTTTTTCTTTGTGTAGCCCTGGCTGTCCTGGAACCAGGCTGGCTTCCCCCCTGCCTCCCAAGAGCTGGGATCAAATAGTGTGCCCACCACCCACTGCCCAGCTTGTTTTCAGTTTATTTTATAAGGAAGAGAGACACCTCCTCTGTAGACTTGGCTAGAGAATCTAGAATGATTATGAAGGACTGGAATCAGTGGAGAGCATTCTTTCTCCCTAATGTTTTCCAGAGGCCTTGACATACTAGGACAGTGTCTCCATATGTACACAGATGATCCTTTGCTCCATATGTACACAGATGATCCTTTGTGCTGGCTAAACGTAGGAAGTTTAGCTTTTGAGATCTTGCTGAACTTCTCAAAGGGCAGAGTTGGTTGACTCTTTTTGACACTTATCTTTTTAATGGGCACCCTCATTACTCATGTTCTTTGGAGATAGAGTTGTATTTCCCTCATTTCTTTTTTGGTGCCTTTAAATGTAGACTTTAATGTGTTAATTTTGTGAGCTCTGACCTCAGATGAGTAGGCCTATAATTTTATAGTTTCATGTCAGGCTTCTTCACATCCCAGGGAGACGGCTTAGGAAACATGTTTTATAGCTGAGAAAGTTTTAGACAAAGTATTTTGTGACTTATTTTGGTTCTGTGGCATGAAGTCAGCATGGAGCCGGCCTGATTGGATCCTGCGTGGATTTTGTACGGCCATTTCAGCAAGTTCAGTCCTTTTTCTCACATGTGCTTGTTTTCCTCTAGCAATGAAAACCATGGGGATTAGTTAAGTTTCTTATGAGATACGGCTTTCTTTGGTAAAAAGTTCTTAGCAACCTGCTTAGCTGTCTCTAGGGTCTTTTGGGCTCCTACTCTCCAGTCTTTCAGCATTTGTGTGAGGCAGAAGATTTACTGTAAATATATTATTAAATTTTGTTAAACCCTCTTATGGCCTTAATGACAAAAGAAGAGAAGGAATTTATTGCATCAACTCCATGCTTTTTATTAATAGTTTTGAAACTGGTCTTACTGCAAGTACATGCATTTTCACAGTCATTGAACAGTAAGCCTATTTGACACTGATCATTTCAGGAAAGTGGCAAAATGGTGCAGATTTCTCTGCTTCTGGTATCAGTGGTTTTCCAGGATCTGAGTAGGAGCTGCTTCAAGCTGCTTTAGATTGCAGAGAAAATCTTAAAAAGTGGGCTACTGGCAGCTGCAGGCTCTCAGCCTCGCTGCTATAATAATAGCTCTTTAGATTTTGTACTGTCTTGAGTTTCACTTCATTTGAAGAAAAGGTTGTTTTGCTTAAAGGAAGTTGGAGAATTCCTGCCCTAGACAAACCAGGATTTAAGAGCAAGAAAGGAGCAGAAACTGCACATCTTTGAGGCTTGCTTGAGCTATACCTGCTTTTCTGGGGTTCCTTCTGTCTCTGTCTAACCTCTGTCAGCCTCCTTTTATTTTTACCTTTTCAGTCAGTACTATAAGTTTGAAGGTTTTTTGTTTTGTTTTGTTTTTTAAGGACCTTTAATAAATTATTATTTTACAGCTAACTGTAAAACAACCTACCTGAATGTGGACCCACTTCCTTAATGCCAGTTGGCTGCTCTTGCAAGGGTTGCTCTTTTCCTCTTTTAAAATGTTTTAACTTTATTTTTAGTGTATTGTAAAAGTCTTTTATACAAAGCTATTTTTTCTCCATATTACACATGGTTTAGTCCATCTTCCTAAAAGGGATGTTTGACTCCTCTGCCTGGTACTGTGGTCTGACTCTGCTAGCCTGGCATCTCTGCCATTCCTTTTACCTTTTCTTCCTATTTTGACTTCGGTTCTCACTTCCACTATTTAATTTTTTCTTTGCTTCTCCTTCCATTCCGTCTTGCCATCCCCATGCATTTTGGAGTATCATCTGCAACTAAAACAAAAAAAAAATAAATAAAAATCATGATGTCCTCACATTATACATCAGTGAATTGTCTTTTAGCCATAAAAGACAAACTATATTTTAATCATATAATAATTACATAAAGTCAAAAATTTTTGGTGCTGTTTGCGCTGTGTGTACATAGAAGTATTAATACATGTAGACTTCAGCTCTTATCTTTTTTCCCCAGGTTGCTAGGAAGAGGCTCGATGTTTGTGTTTTCACCAGATCAGTTTCAAAGACTGCTTAAAATTAATCCGGACTGGAAAACTCATAGACTTCTTGACTTAGGTGCTGGAGATGGAGAAGTCACAAAAATCATGAGCCCTCATTTTGAAGAAATTTATGCCACTGAGCTTTCTGAAACAATGATCTGGCAGCTTCAGAAGAAGAAATACAGGTACCAGTTCTAGAGGTGTGCTGGGGGTACTGTCTGTGTCTTGGTTTAAATGGATTTGGTTTTAAAGTGTGTGTGTGTCTGTGTGTCTGTGTGTCTGTGTCTGAGTGTGTGCATGCGTATGTGTGTGTGCATGTGGTATTGGGGATTGAACATAGGACTTTGTGCTTGCTAGGCCAGCACTCTACTTCTGCATGTATTCTAATGATAAGAGTCAAGAATAGTTTTCCATAGTCAAGAATTAAATCAGGGGAAACCATAGAAAAGGAATTTTTCATGGGAGCATTTTTCTGAAGCAGAGGACTTGGCATCACAGGGAACATAGCATAAGTGAGAGACAGCTTGGAACAGGTGGTCAGATGTGATGGTGTGTCCTCTAGGTAGGATTTAGCATGTCTAGATGTTTTGTATACTTTTTTAAAAAAAAAAATTGGTAAAATATGTGTAATATAAGATGTACCATTTTCATCATTTACATTTCTAATTAGGTCAGTGGTAGTGGTTCATTTGTAGCATCCATTCTCACAACTTTTTCATCTTCCCTAACTACACTCTCAAATAGTTATCTCTGATTCTTCCTTCTTTCCAACCCATAATTACCTTTCTACTTTGTCTCATTTGACTTCTCTGTGTACCTTAGCTTAAAGGAATCATAGGAGGACTCAAGAAAGCCCTTTGACTGGCCTATTTCATTTACCATACTGTTTTGGTGGTTCATCTATGTTGTAGCTTGTACCTCACTGAATAACACTATTGTACAGTTACTCCATACTGTATTTTACAGATATTTGGGTTGCTTCTCACATTTTGCCGTAGTTACTTTTTGTTGTTGTGATAACTTATACAAAAAAAGAGTTTATTGTGATTACAGGTTCATAGGGTGAGTGTGACCGATTATGGTTGGCATGTCACTGAAGCAGTAGCTGAGAGCTTACATGTTGAGACAACAACTATAAAGCAGGGAGAGATAACTGGGAATGGTGTGAGCTTTTGAGAAACCTCATTTTTCACCCCCAGTGACACCACCTTAAACAAAACAAGACCACACCTCCTAGCCCTTCCTGAGCAACTAGTTCACTGGCTGGGGACCAAGAATCCAAATATATGAGCTTATTGAGGGCCATTCTTATTCAAACCACCACAGCCATTGTGAGTAATGCATGAATGAGTAATATAAATGCCTGTTTAAGCCCCTGTTCTCACTTTTAGTATGTCCCTAAAAGTGGAATTGCTAGATCACATGTTAAGTCTGATTTTTTGTTTGTTTGTTTGTTTGTTTGTTTGATTTTTCAGGACAGGGTTTCTCTGGAACAGCTCTGGCTGTCCTGGAACTCACTTTGTAGTCCAGGCTGGCCTTAAACTCACAGATCTGCCTGCCTCTGCCTCCCAAGTGCTGAGACTAAAGGTATGTACCACCAATCACATAAAATATATTTTAAATTTATGTTTTAAATTTTTTTTGAAATATATTTTATGTGTATAATGTTTTGCCTGTATGTATGTCTGTGCATATATGTGCATGTATGTTCATATATGCCTGGTACTCATAGAGGCTAAAAGAGTAAAAGAGGGTGTTGGGATTCCCTAGAAATGAAGTTACAGATGATTGTGAGCCACCATGTGGGTACTTGGAATCAAGTCCACGTCCTCTACAAAAGCTAAGTGCTCCAAACTGCTGAGCCATCTCTCCAGCCCCCTAAGTCCCTGTGTAACTTTTGAGAATCCACTGTACCTTTCCCATAGCACCTATACCAGTTACATCCCTACTAACCAGTTTCTTCATATCCCTGACAGTAGTTGGACCCCACCCCTACCCAGACAGCTGTCAGTAATGATGGGTATAAAGGGTCAAGTTCAGTTTGCAGACTGCCTGGTGCTTGAGAGACTTAGGAAGACTATTATTAGGTATGAAGTCCGTGGGTTCAGAGTCTTCTGAAGAAAATGTATTCTGTATTGACTGCTTATACAATGTGGAGATGCCACCTGTCTCTGTGATATTTGGAAGTCTTGGACAGAAATTATGTCCTTACTTACTTTACTGTCGCATGTTTTTACTTAGACTAACCCTAGTCATAGCATTATTATGTCCTTACTTTACTGTCGCATGTTTTTACTTAGACTAACCCTAGTCATAGCATCTTTGCAGCTTTGGTGGAGCAGGACCAGATCGAACATTTGGAAAACATGGAGAGTTTTAGACTAGAGAAAGGACAATGGTGGTGGTGGAAGGAAAGGTTGCTGTAAATATTTCATGAAACTTAGACTTTAAATGGGAGGAAGAGGCAAGTATAGTTTCTGCCGTGATCAGGCACGGCTGGATTCTAGAAGTAGCTTTTCTACTTCTAGAAAGTAGCCTTTCTCATAGCAGTGTTAAGTAACTGTTTGGGATGTTATATTTGAAGTGCGTTTGAATGATTGTGTAGCCTACCTTGATTTCATCCTCGAGTTTGTGTCCTGGTACACCTCTGTGGTAATAATTAAAATGCATTACCCCTCCAATTAGTGGTTAGTTCATATCAAAACTTAGAATGCTTTGGCTTTTATTATAATGACAGCTTAAGTCAAGTTAGATTTCTAATCTGTCCCCATATCTCCCCACTTAATTAAAACAAAAACAGGGCCAGTGAGTGGCGAGTTTGCTACCAAGTATGAAGCCTCCTGAATTTGATCCCTGATATCCACATGGTAGGTGGGAGAGAACCAACTCTACAAGTTGTCTTCTGATTCCCACAAGTGTGCAGTGGTACAAACATAAACATAAAGGTAGTAAAAGCTAAAAACAGTGTTTGGTCTGGGAGGGACATTAATGGCCTCTATTTACATTTCTTAATGAAAAGATACTGGCTAATGGAATGTGCAGATGGCCATTCATGCTTAGCTGGGTAGACTGGCAGGGCTTATTTAAGGAGTAACTGCCAGGTTTTCCCTTACCTTACATGGAGAGGGCCAGGATCTTTCACCTGAGTAACATGCTAGGAAGGGCTGCAGTACGAGACACTCCTTTCTTCTTGTCATAAGAAAGAAAATGCCAACAACTCATTAGGATTCCTGGGCAGTCTGAGTCCAGCTACTAATGTAACTTAAAGAATGGACCTGATTTACACATAGAGCTTTAAAGAATGAAGTGAGGTTAAGATTGACCTGCTGTCAGTACAAGTTTAATCATCCCAACATAAAACTCCTATGTTTTGGTTCATTCCTAACACAGAAATTACTTGCCTACAGCTGATTTTGAAGCACATTAAGTGAGAGGTTTTCTTATGAAACATGCTGCTTCATGTCTGGCTTTTCTTTCATTGCAGACCTAAGATTATAGTTTTGTTTAATCAAGTGTGTAATTTGTGATTTTTAAATTGTTTGGCTAAAGCATTAAACAAGTATTTCTTTCATAATTTCCTTCAATTGTTTTACAGTGGAACTGATGACATTTTATCCTGAAAGCAGAGCCTGCACAGTAGTGCTCTGAAACCCCTCCTTAAAGAACCGAATCTAGCTTCTGACTATCGTTAGGCAGTATTTTTAAGACGATAAAATGCTTCTGAAACTCTAGTGCTGTGTCTGTATCGGGAGGTATTTAGTACAGATAGACTGACACCTGTACAGCAGTTACTGTCTTTGTTTATGGCCTATACCTGTAATCTCAGTGCTGGGAGGCAGAAGCAGGAGGCCAGCCAAGTAATACACCATTTTAAAAAGCAGGCAGGCAGGCAGGCAGGCAGGTAGGTAGGTAGGTAGGCAGGTAGGTAGATTAGATAGATAGATAGATAGATAGATAGATAGATAGATAGATAGATAGATAGATATGCTGTAAGATAAAATAGAAAGAAAGGAAGAAATGCTATAAGAAAATATGGACTGGGGATCTAGCTCAGTCAGGAAAGTATTTGGCATACAAGTATAAGGACTTAGGCAATGCCCCAGTACTCATGTGAAAAGCTGAGTGTAGTGGCATGAATTTATTATCCTAGCATTGGAGGGATGGATACATGAGAATCCCGGGGCTCACTGCCCTGAGTTGCCTAATTATTGAATTCCAGGCCAATGGAAGCCCCTATCTTAAAAAAAAAAAAAAAAAATGAAAATGGATGGCATCTGAGGAATGATACCCAAGATTGACTTCTGGCCTCCGCAGTTGCCATTTTTTCTTATCTGTTCTTTGTATAGTTGTAAATATAAATTATAGGTACCTATTTTGAATCCACATTGATTGAGCATCTCAGTTTTTCATTTTGTTTTGTTTTTCAAGACAAGAGTCTCACTGTGTATCTCTTGGCTGTCCTGGAACTCAGTATGTAGATCAGGCTGGCCTTGAGCTCACAGAGATCCACCTCCTTCTGCCTCTCAAGTGCTGATATTAAAGGGGTGCACTTCTGCTCTCTGCTTATCATAGTTATTTTTAAAGCTGTCTCTAAATGGGAGAAATATTAACCAAGTTCTTTTTGATTTTTCCAGAGTGCTTGGTATAAATGAATGGCAGAATACAGGGTTCCAGTATGATGTCATCAGCTGCTTAAATTTGCTGGATCGGTGTGATCAGCCCCTGACATTGTTAAAAGATATCAGAAGTGTCTTGGAGCCCACCCAAGGCAGGGTTATCCTTGCCTTGGTTTTGCCCTTTCATCCCTATGTGGAAAACGGTAAGTGTGGGCAGGCCAACTTTTCTCAGAATGGCTATCTCTTGGTATTTTTGGTTTTATGTTATGAACAACTAAACAGACTAGTGTTGTTTCTTAGTCGCTTAGAGTGTAAAATAATAGTTACCCATGTATGTATCACCTTGGTTAATGTTTATCTTAGTACAGATTTTATAGCACTCTGGTACTCCCCTTGCACTATAATAATTTATACTCAGCTTTGTCTACTCTCTGGCTTTAAATGGCGCTTGAGCCATTTATTTAATGGCTTATAAGCCAAGTCAAGCAGTGAATCGTATCTTTTAATCTGCTAGTAGATACTTGCTAAATGTCATGGCTGTTTTGTTTTACATTTTGTAATTCTTGTCCCAGACTCTAAAAATGAAGAGTGTTCTCTTTTGAAGACATTCATGTCCCAGTATTTATTATATTCTTAGCAGGATTTTTTTAAAAAATGAATTTTATGATCACTTTTAGAATTGTCTCTGTGTGTTTGTGCATGTGAGTACATCATCTGCAGAGGCTAGAAGTTGGCATCAGATTCCTAGGGACTGGAGCTGCCTTACTTGGGTTCTGGGAACTGCATTTCGGTCCTTTGGAAGACCAGAACATGCTCTTAACCTTGAAGCCATTTATCTTTTCACCCCTTGTAATGTGATTTTTGTAAATTAATGGTGTTGGTCTTCATTAATATTGATTGAAGAGTATACTAGAAGAGATGGCCTGTTTCCTGGCATTTAGGTTTACTATGGCTTCTGACACTGTAACTTAATATCACAGTAATTCATACTTTAAGCTGCTGTGGTTTGCACTTTAGGTCATCTTGAGAATTATGGCTTTAATTCTCTCTTCTGCATTTTGATAAGTTAATGTACATTAATATAAAACTACTTGTTGTACATGTTAATATTTTTAAAATCTTTAGTCTTTTATTTCTTTTTTCCCTGAGACAGTCTCATGAAGCCCAGGCTAGCCTCAAACTTACTATGTCGCCAAAGATGACCTTTATTTTTGAATCTCTTTGTGTCCATCTCTCCAGTGCTAGGATTTATGTCATGATAGAGTTTAAACTTTTTTTGTTTTTGTTTTTGTTTTTGTTTTTTTTGAGACAGGGTTTGTTTCTCTGTGTAGCTCTGGCTGTCCTGGAACTCACTCTGTAGACCAGGCTGGCCTTGAACACAGAGAGATCTGCCTGCCTCTGTCCCCTCCACTGCCAGGCTTGAGGTTAAACTATTTAATCTTTTTATTTAAACCTTTTAATTAAAGTGCTTGCATATTCTTTAATTCTGGTCTTGTTCTTAGTTTTCACCCATGGTCATAATCAGTCCACCTGTCTGTCTTCCCTCCCTCCTCCCTCCTTCTCTCCTCCCTCCTTCTCTCCTCCCTACCTCCCTTTCCCCTTCTCTCTCCCACCCCTATTATTTCTTGTTTGCTTGCTTGATTTGGAGACAGGCTCCTGAAACTTGAACTCGTGATCCTCCTGTTTCTGCTTCCCACATGCTGGGTTTACAGTGGTAGGTCACCATGACAGGGTCCTCCCTTTGTACTTAATGCTCGTCTTTACATTTACCCCAAATATAAAGGTTTGCTGTTGCTTTGGAAAATAGGAAATTCTCCCCCCCCTCTCTCTTTCTCTCCCTCTTCCTATCCCTCTCCCTCTCTCCCTCTATCTCCCTCTCTCTCCCTCTCTCTCTCTCTCTCTCTCTCTCTCTCTCTCTCTCTCTCTCTCTCTCTCTCTCTCTCTCTCTCTCTCTCTCTCTGTCTGTCTATCTGTCTCTGTGTGTGTGTGTGTGTAGAGGCAGACAAAGGAGGTTGACATCAGTTGTCTATCTCCGTTGCTCTTCATTATTTTTTGAGACAGGGTCTCATTGTACCTGGAACTTGCTGCTTTATAGCTGGACTGGTTGGCCAGCAAGCCCCAGGTAGCTGCCTGTTGTACCCCACCCCCCACCCCAGTATTACAGTTCCATGCTCCCACACCCATCTCAGGTCTCATGCTTGCATACAAGCATGTTAACCACTGAGTCATCGAGTCATCTCCATCACTGAGCCATCTTCCTAGATTTGTTTTTGAGACAGAGTCTCATGTAACCTTAACTTGCTGTGTAACTGGGGATGGCTTCAACTCCTGATCATTCTCTTACTTCTGCTTCTAAGAAGTGGGTTACAGGGGCTGGAGAGATGGCTCAGCTGTTAAAGGCTAGGCTCACAACCAAAAACATAAGAAGTGGGTTACAGATGCTTGCCTCCATCTATACTGGACTTGAAAATGGAAAAATCTATAGACATGGGAGGGCAGGAAGAAAATGAATGGAATAGATCTCTCTTTGAACATACTTCTTTGTACATTACATTCCTGTTGTTGAATGGCTTTTCACCCTGCTTCAACTGTGAGTGCATTATGTATCATGAACATCATGTGTATGTTACACAGTGAAAAGACCCAGTAAGTGTCCTCTGATCTGACCTTGCTGTGGTGCCATTCTCTGTCACTAAGCGTTGGCTCCATCTCCACACCGCACTCACTAGTCATTGAGTTGTGAGGTTCTGGCTTCCTGTGTCCTGATGGGCAACCACATGATAGAACTTTAATGCTACTTCCTGGCATAGCAGGAGGTGGAAAAGCAGGAGGAAGAAACATCAATCTAACCACAAATTTCATTTCCTTGTGTTTCTGACAAGAAACATTGAAAGGAAGTCAAGCTAAATAAGAGCACAGTCTTCACTTAAGACTGAGAACAAGCTCCTTGATTGTGGGTGTCCAGAGCTGCCTGTGGATCTGAGGAGTCTGGCCTGTGACACATTACAAATTTGAGACAAAGCCTTGTTGCTAGGGGTGACCTTTATTGACCTGTAACTTCTGTAGATTGTCTGGAGCACTCTGTTGTTGTTACTGCTTCCTTTCTCCAAGTCTCTAATTAGATCCTGATGATTTCCATGGGAAATTGTGAGGACTGGAGACTTCAAGGCGCAGAATGGGCTTGTTGTGAGGGTGCCTGAGTGCACTTAGCCTGCTTGGCTTAATTAATTAACAAAAAGCAATTATAGTGAAGTGATTACTCTTGATTGGGGGGGTATTGTGCATTTAACTACAGTTTTGTTGTGTAGACTAATAACTTAGAATAAGCAGTCTTGTGTTTTATTTTCTTTATTTAAAGATTTATTTATTTTATGTGCATTGGTGTTTTGCCTGCATGTATGTCTGTGTGAGAGTGTTGGATCCTCTGGAACTAGAATTACAGACAGTTGTGAGCTGCCGTGTGGGTGCTGGGAATTGAACCCATTTTCTCCGGAAGAGCAGCTATTGCTCTTATCCTCTGAGCCATCTCTCTAGCCCCACCTGTGTTTCTTTTTATTTGGTTTCCTCACCTAGTCTTCATTAGGGTTTGGTAATTTGGTGAGACCTGTTCAGGGGAAAGGATGCACTTAAGGAGAATTATGTTGTACAAATGAAAATTTAATAACATGATTAATTTGTTAAAATTATAATTTTATTTAAAAAGAAACTGTACTAATAGAATACACTGTTTAATATTTAATGAGCAGTGTGAACTTGTCGGTACTTTATATTCAAAGAACAATCCATGGCACACCTCTTAGAGAAATAGTGAGGACCTTGCTGTACCAGGCCTTCCTCCTAGGTTCACTACAGGTGTGTGGCCCTGGCATTCCCTGGGTCTGAAGTCTTTGGCACCACACTGACATCTAGAGTCAGTTGTATGCATTTGTTCTGAGGCATTTTCTGATCTGCTTTGGGTTTCTTCCTCTGGTCGCTCTTTTGGTCTTGCTTTTCTTGGTTGTTCTGTATACTTCAGCAGGAGAATGTGCACTGTCCATTGCTCCATTACAATATCAGAAGAAATGATTTTTGTTCCAAGATACTTTTTCCAATGAGTTTCTTTTACTCAAAAATTGGCCGCCTCTTCTCTCCTTTTTCCCCCCTCACATGATTGTAATTGTTTCAACATTTCCACAACTTGGAATTGAGATTTGTGGTTTAACTTTAAGCCTTCTCTGGGTTAATGGCCCTGACTTAACTAGTATGTTGGGTGAACTGACAGGATATTCGTGATAATAATTTTAAAAGACTGTTATGATGATTTTTTTAAATTGGGCTCATTAGACTGTTCCTGGAAAATTAGAAAAAGAGATCCTCCAGTTGAATTTTCTTGAGGTTTTCATATTTTGTAGTTACTGTAGTGACAGTTTCTTATGTTCTACCTTCTGGTGTGACTGGCTGCCTTTTCCATTTGTTGTCTTTTTTCCTTTGGTGGTGACAGTTGTTTTTGAGACAGATGACATTTGTCTCTGGCCTCAAATTCATCCTGTACTCAAGTATGACCTTGAACCTCTGATCATCTTTACTTCACCTCCAGAATGTTGGGATTACAGCCTTGTGTCACTTTGCTGAGTTTATGTGGTGATGGGGATCCAACCCAGGGCTTTGTGCCTGCTCGGCAAGCATTCTGCCAGCTTAGCTACATCCCTGGCTCTTTGGTGTTTTTGGTTGGTTAGTGTCTGTCACACTTTGTAGATGCTGGAGTTGCACTTTTAGTGATATAATTAAAAAGAAAGCACATCTATGGTCTTCCAAAGTTGGGAAGTGCTCTTCTATTTTCGAAAGTGCTGTCTCTCTCCTGTGACGGTAAACGTAAGCTTTGCTTAACATTATGTTACCAGTGTTGTCATTCTACAGCTACAAAGGAGCTATTTTGCCACTATGCACCTTTGGTCTTGTGTACACTTTGAATCACTCTGTGTGTGTGTCTGAATACTTTCAGTTTGAATTTTCTTTTTGTGTGAAAAAAGCATCCACCCTTTGCTTTGGTGTGTGATCTTTTGAGATAGGTAGCCTCCAGACTGACTTTGAACTCACTATGCATGTAGTCCAGGATGACCTTGAGCTATAAGTCTCTCTGCTTTTACCCAGGAAATACTGGATTACAAGTATGTTACCAATGGGCGTGATAGCATATACCTTTAATCCCAGCACTCAGGAGGCAGAGGCAGACAGATCTACAAAGTGAGTTATGGGACAGCCAGAGCTATTACATTGAGAAATCCTGTCTTGAAAAATCAAAAAAAAAAAAAAAAAGTTTAGATTTTTAGTTTTCAAAACTGATGCTGAGGGTGGAACCCACGGGCTTAGTAAGTATTGGGCAAGTGCTCTGCCACAGAGTTATATCCCCATCCCATAAAAAGACCTTACAGATTGGAGAACTCTCCTCACCCACCTACCCCAAAGCAAAAAACAAAACAAAAACAAAACAGAGAGAAAAGAAAATCATACTTGATAGTCATCATCCTGTTGTGTTTGCCTCTTTCCTAGTTATCTGTTCTCTGTATACATTGTTATAGAGCGCTTAGCATTAGAGCCATGTGTTCTAGAACCAGGTATCCTGCTACCCATAAAGCTGCATTCCCTCCAGAATCCTGTGGCTTGAGAGGTACTCTGTCAGGAAGTTGCCTAGACTATCCTATCCCCAGTGTCTCAGCCCTAGAGCTAGCAAGATGCTGCTTTTGTATCACTAGCAAATTTATTTTTTCCTTATTGTAACAAGTGACTTAAACATACTGTTTAATCTACACAGGTTTGTGGCACTGACTTATGGACTACTGCTCACTGGCTGCATAAAAGCCCCTCGTGTGTATTGAAAACCACATCACTAGGATGGAGGCCTCTGACTGTTAAACATTTTATCAAATGCCCTCTGTCATACTTTTGGCTAAAGAGGTTCTGATACAGACACTTTGTGAAGAGTCTTCTAAAGGAAAACTTGATAATTGACAGCTTGTTGGCAGCATATTCCTTTTCAGTGATAGAGGCTTTCTGTCTTCATTGTGGCCTTTGCTGTTTTATACTCACAGGTTGTTGGCTTGTTTCCACGTATCTCTTATGGTATAATTCTTGAGCGATTTCCTGAAAGATGCGCCTAGCACTCTTCTGTAAAATCAAAACGGGGGTGGGGTGTTAGTCTTTCAGGGGCACAAGTTCCATCTACCTTTATTCCATCTACCTTTATTTCGGGGGCTGAGCAGTGGGACCCTCTGCAGCCACATGGAGTTAGCCTCTGTGCCCTGAGTGCATTCAGAAGAGTGTGGCTGAGATCTATCGGTTTGGGATGGCAGCTTCCTCCCCAGATGGTTGTAAAGTGATGATCCCTTAGAGGAAACAGCAGCCTCTAGGGTGGAAGCTACTGTGTTGTTCTCTGGGCTTCCAAACACAGCTCACATTTGAATTGTTCCCGCCCGCCACAGTGTAGAAATACAAGTACTGGTAGTACCTTTTGTGAGTCGTCTTTGGTTTCTCTGTGTCTTGGACTGTTAGATTTTGACTGCCAAGAATAAGAAAATCTGTGAGCATTTTGTGATACTGTGCTGAAAGGGAACTGAGCTGGCCTAGTGTTTGAATGGTACACACTAGATAACTTTCATAACATTTTAGGTGCTTTTGTTTAAAAAATGAATTTAGCAACTTAAATGGATCTTACTATAGCATATGAAAGAATTCTAATAGATATTTATATCCCCACTTTTCTAATAGATATTTATATCCCCACTTTTTAACATATATACAGATCAAAGAAACTTCTTTTTGGTACATTTAGGTCTTGAATGTTTTAAGGCAACTTCTAATATCTTCATTAACTGTTTCTGCTCTTAAAAATGGTTCTTCAGGTTTTCCTAGGTAACAGTATCCTCTCTTCTCCAGACTCCACCCTTGCAGTAGAAAACAAACACAGGTGCTTAATCCCTTAGTTGTGGCCTCTGACTAACAGTCTCAGCTATGAAGAAGGCTCAAGGGTTCTGCAGCCTCCTCCCAAGTGGGGCCCCTAAAGATCTGAGCCAGGTGTTTTCTGGGCCAGCTGTTCCCGAGGCAGACAGATGAAAGTAACTTCTCTATGGTAACATCCAGGTGAGAGCATTTGACTTACTTTGAAGAGGACTATGAAGATCACACACACTCCAGTGATGTAGACAGAGAACAGTACTAAGAGCACGATCAGGAGACTGTGTACCTCCTTGCTGAGAAGTCTTTCTTCATTGTGGAGACAGAAATAACAGTCACTGTTGAAGCATGTTCTGGCAGGCATCTATGAAGCATCACTTACGATACATTTAGAGGTGGAGCCTGAACTGGTTGTGCTTACCCATCCCAGCAACGTCTACCTGGGGCCCCATAAGGAGAAGATGCTCAGAATGAGATTGAGTCAGTTCAGTGGCTTTTAAATGTGTTACAACAGAAATGCTTCTTCATAAAATAAAAACATTAAAAAATTAAGTTGAATTTAATACCTTTAATACCAGCACTTGTAAGACCGAAGTAGATGGACAGAAGCTTGTAAGTTCAAAGCTAGCCTGCTCTACGTAATAGGTTCTAGGACAGCCAGGGCTACATAGTGAGACTGTCTTAAACAAACAAATTGAGTTGGACATCTGTTGTAGTGCTGAGAATCATCTTTTTTTTTTTTTTTTTTTTTTTTCCCCCACTTCTCATGGTACCATACTACTGATTGAACCTAGTGCCTCACACACGCTTAAGCCTTCTACCACTGAACTCCATCTAGCCCAAGAATTACTTTTTATAAGAATTACTTAAATACACGGACATTTAAATTTTCTTTTGTTACAAGTGATCAGCAAGTGTCACCAAATCTGTTGTTGCAGTGCAGATATTTTCTTGGTATTTGTTGGTGCAACTGTTTAAAGCTAACTAGTGCCATCTGGTAAAAACTGAAGGAGGTAGCGCCCTGAGGATCTTAGAGGCAACACCTTGCTTTAAAGGCAGTTGTGACATGTGCTTCCATTAGCAAAGCCCTGCAGGGAGTAACACTGAGTGTGTTTTCACATCTGAATTCTCTTTTTGGGCAGGAAATATCCTGTGTTCAAAGAGGGTATTAAGTAACTTGTGTGTCTTTCAGTACTGATTATATGAAACATGAAATACAATTAGATACAAAATTATTTCCTGTTAACCTGTGGTTCCAGGTAAATATCCCATAGGTCCTATCCCATGGACTCAGTTTATACAATGAACATTTTTTTGTTTTTGTAAAACATAGCATTTTGCTCAGATCTTTAAACTTGTATCTCACAAGCACAAATTATGGTGTAAATCTGGTAGTATAAATACCTTGTCGAAAGCTGCTAGTTTCCAGAACCTCCGTGACTGACTCTGGTATCCACAGACACAGAGGCAATGGTGGGCCTTCTCAGTTCTCTATCCCCAGACTTCACTCCTGTGTAACATAGGCAGGCCTGTGTGTACAGTGTCTAAGTGTAACTTGGTCAGGCCTGTGTGTACAGTGTGTAGGTGTAACACAGGCAGACCTTTGTGTACAGTGGCTAGGTGTAACAGAGGCTTGTATGTTCAATGTGTAGGTGTAATAGGGAGACCTGTATGTCTTCCAGCTTTCTTAGAAACTGTCTTTGCATTGTACTGTAAGAGAAGCAGAAGTGACCAATAAATTGGACTCAGAAAAAATAAAGAGGAGTAAACACAAATTTGGAGAATAGATCAGTAGATCCTTGGCCTTTGTCATTGTGCCTGGATATCAGAGAAGAAAAACGGATGACTCTGGCTTCCTGAAAAGATTCCTGGAAATCCCTCCCTCACTCACCTGAGGACATCAAACCTACATAAACACCAGCAGCAATTTCACCAAGCTCCTCCTTTGAGTAGTTTGAGATAGACATTCTAAACAGACTGTAGTAGTATATGACTGTAGTGCCAGCTCCTTGGGAAGCTGAGGCAAGAGGAGGATTTGAGCCAAGAGTTCAAAGCAGCCTAGAACAAGTCAGCAAGACTTGATCTCTTTTAAAGGGGAAAAAAAGCGAATAATAACCCCCCCCCAAAAAAAATCAGAGAAAAGTCTTTACACGATCATGAAACGTAACAACCATGTAACATGTTAACAAATGTGACATAGTCCTGTGACTGACCAAAAAAAAGCGAATAATAACCCCCCCCAAAAAAAATCAGAGAAATGTCTTTACACGATCATGAAACTTAACAACCATGTAACATGTTAACAAATGTGACATAGTCCTGTGACTGACCTCTTACCACCAATGTAGTCCCGTTTCCAGTCTGTTTAGCTCTTGGTGCTGGTTCATGGGGAAATGCTATTCCACAGATGTAAATTGCACTGTCATTTGGAGACACCCTGTTGACAGTGAGGGAGACTCGGTTCTGGTCCAGGGTTTCTTGCACTGTGAACTTGTCTGCCTTATTTCTACATCCATCCAAGCACAGAGCCTCAGGCTGATGAGTGCCACAGCGAAACCACAGGCTTCTTGGTTGCTTTGAAGAACATCCAGTTGTGGAAAAGGTACACTCCATGGTGACAGTCTCAGAAGTGTAGTCTACCTCTAGGTAACCTGGCTGCACCACGGAGACAGTACAGGCACCCACCGCACCTGTGTGAGGAAGCACGTGAGTGTTGGGGAGCTTCTTTGCAGTCGATGCTGCTTGGCACTATTGGCCCAGGGGACCAGTCAGTCTCTTTGATTCTTGTCCTACTCCCATTAAAAACAATAAAGACAACAGTGGGCCTCACCTGTGTTAACTCATTGCTGCTGCTCTTTACCTGATGGTTGTTGGCATGCCATCTGGCTATCGGAGGACAGCCTCAGAGAAGTTCTCATGGGATCAGTGTGGCTAGTGGAGGTGGTGTGTCTGAAGCCAGAAGTATGTTCTTAGTGCCTATAAGCATTTCCTTGATCTCAAGCCATCCATGTAATCTTGAAGAGCCTGTTTCCTCCTGCACACCCCTTGTTTTGGGGTGTGCTTAAGCACATGAGCACCACCAGGTTTTCTGCCTGTTGGGTGCTGGAATGCCTAGAGATGAATCTGGTTTCCATTTGGGAATTAGGATAACAGGAAAAGATGTACCTATGAGAAAATGCAGCTCCAGCCCAACCAATGGCTTTCCTAACTGCTGTAGGGCTGAGGTCAGGGAGGGAGTCCCCTGTGCATTGGTCTTCCTGACTCATCGTATAGTAACAAAGAGAACAGACTGGAGTTGGAACCCATCTCTGCACTTGCAGCTCTGAGCGCTGCTTGGGTTTCCTATCATGGTGGGGTTGCTGCTCCCTTGTGCAGTTCATATGGTGTTTAAATGTGATGATGCCCAAGCCATAGGAACTAATAGATAACAGCCATTTCTATTGCTGCCCTGCCATTACTACTCTCCACTGTGTGGCTCCTTGGAGCTTGAGTTCCTGTCTTGACCTTCTAGACCCAGAAATGTGATGCTGGAAAGTCACAAGTATTGGTTCAGGCAGATGAGAATTTATGTGCGTTTTTGGTTCAACTTCTGCCTAGTTATATAGGTCAGATGGTCTCAGAAAAACTAATGGGCCAAGTGGTCTTACTTACCCTACTTTGCTCAAGTGTCGTGGGGGAGGGAATCAATTCCAGCCCTGTGATGCTTATATTCATTTAGCAGTGGTTCTAACCATCCCAATGCTGGAACACCCCCACCCCCACCCCCGCATGTGACCCCCAACCATAAAATTATTTCATTGGTACTTCATAACTTTAGTTTTGCTACAAGAATCATAATGTAAATATCTGATATTTGACCCCCAAAGGGTTGCAACCCACAAGTTGAGAGCTGCTGATTTTGAGGCTAGGGCTCTTTATAACTTAACATTTATTTTGTCCTGTAGGTTTCCACCCAGAGCAGCAGAGGTAATGAAGTTAGTCACAGCATTTGTGAGAGTCTGTTCTCACAGTTCACTTTGAGCATTGTGTACTTTGAGGGAAGCTGAGGCTCTGTGAGACTTGCTTCAAGGAGTTAGTCAGCTTGAGTGCCTCCCGACTTCTTGTGTGCTAGGTCAGTGGGCTAACCCTAGTCTGTTCACTAAGCACCTCCCTCTGCCCAGGCACAGTCACCTTAGAAGCCAGGGGCCACTGAAGCACAGTCCTCTACATGCAGATTTGAAGTGGATCATTCCAACACTGCAAACAGAGCCCAAGTCTCTGAGGTGGCTTTCAGGTGACTGTTTTAAAAGTAAAGCCAACCTTTAACACAGTAAGAAGCATTTGCAACTTGGGAGTTTCATATCTCTGTCTCAGGGTGGGAGAAATCACAAGACAGTGCTGTTCCCTCCCCCTCCGGTTGAGCAACATTAGCCAAAACGAGAAGTCTGGATAGTGTCTACCAAAGCCCTCTCCTGTGAAGTCTTTCTTTTAGGAATTCTTAGACTCCATAGTTTTTTGTTTTAAATCGGTTTTTACTAAAAATGTTGAAAGTTTAGCTTGGAGGAAATAAAATCACCTTGCTACTTTTTGAAAACTAAGGGATACTGTAAGCTGATTTTGTTTGTACTTATGTACTCATGCCTGTGGGCATGCACAAATGAATGTTGAGGTGCGTGTGGAGGCCAGAGGATAAGCTCTGCCTACTTTTGTTTTTCCAGACAGGGTCTCAGTGGTTGAGTAGGCTGGACTGGCTAGTGAACCCTGGGGATCTGCCCAGCTCTGCCTCCCCCTCACTGATACTAGAAGTGCGTGCCACCAGGCCTGACCTTTTTACATGGGTTCTAGAAACCACATGTAGGTTCCTCTGCTTGCACAGCAAGCACTTTACTGAGTTATCTCTCTGGCTCTAACATTTATTAACAATTTATTATTATTAGTAGTGTTGTTATTATTTTGGCTTTTCAAGTCAGAGTTTCTCTGTGTATCCCTGGCTGTTCTAGAACTCACTCTGTAGCCTCAAACTCAGAGATCCCCCTGCCCCTGCCCCTGCCCCTGCCCCTGCCTCCTGAGTCCCAGGATTAAAGGTGTGCACCACCACCATCCAGCCCAACATTTATTATTGTGGAAAATGTCAAACATGCAAAAGTAGGTATGTTGCAGGGTGGATCCACCATTGCCTGGCTTTACCTCAGTCTTGTTCTGTCTCTTCTTACTGTTTCATCTGCTTACCCATTTGTTGTTATATCTGCAAACATTTCATAATATAGCTGGAGACAAGGCTTTTCTTTAACTCCAGCTAAAATAGTGATTAAAGGAGTATATACTCATTGCAGGTAGGAACAGTGTAAGACATCACCATGATTCTTCAGCCAGAAGAGCCACTGTTAACATGTTGGTATAATTCATTCTCTTCTCCTCCCCACCTCTTTCTCCCCTCCCTGTGTCCTCCTGCTTTCCTTTTCTTGTGTGTGAACCCAGAGCCTTCCATATGCTAGGCAAGTGGCTCACTGCTGGACTATAGACCTACCTTTACAGATGAGAAAAAAAAAATTAATTTCAAGAGCTTTTGCTCCATTTCTTTCCTTGCAATCCGATTTTGTGGGTAAATCAGAGATTATTTACAACTATGATGAGAGAAATAACTTTTATAGAGCTAGAACAGGCAGTGTCTGAAGATTAGTTATATTATGGGGTGGCTTTTCTCTAGAATAAGTTACAGTAGCTTTAAAACTAAGTTCTTTTTAGCCTTTAGAAACATTGTCCTATGGAAGAAAGTATTACGAAAATCTAGTGCAGTGTGCACTAGCCCAGAGCAAGCTTGCCTGTGTCAGAATTGAATTGTTAGCATATGTGGTCCTGAGCAGATCCTGTCTGGTGAGGTGTGCTCAAAGCAGCACAACAGCAAAGGGCTTGTCGAGGGTAGTAGGGAACCTTCCTACTCTGGGAAAGAAGAAACCTCACCCCCATACTGTAGTGCTAGACATTTTCAATTATTTGGTAAGGACTTAAAGTATACATATATTAATCAGGAAGCAGCAATTCATTGAAATGAAGTAGAGAAAAGGAAAAATCCTCCTTACCGACATGAAACAGGATCAGACTGACTTCCAGCCGGAGGCCCATCTTGCTTGTGCCCACAGGGCCTATCACTCTGCATGTACTCAAGAGGTTGGCCTTCCTTTTCCTCCTTTCTTTTCAGAAAGGAAGAAGTAAAGAGGAACTCTTATTAAGGAAGCACAAGCAGGAACTTTCAGAAATTGTGTAAGCATGGTTTGTAACAAGTTTTCACCATTTAAAGTTGAGATTTCAGTCTGGAGTTTTTCTAAACCTGTGTGTGTATTAGAATTTCTCACAGGCATTTGATGATCTGTGTGGAGGTTTGCTTTACATCCAGCCGTGTTCCAGGAAGTCATGTGATCCTCAGGCAATGCCTGGCATTTTCAGAGTGCTCTTGTTGCTGCTGTGGTCCTCTGTGGAGTGCCTCTCAGAGCCAGAAATTGCTAGACCTGAGCAGCCACAGGCTATGTTTCCTGTTGGCCTGGGAGAAAAACTAGTGGCCAGTGCATCCTCGCCTGGTGAAGAAGTGCTCAGCTACTGTTAAAAATGCCCACCTGGCTTTAATTCAAAGACCCCTTAGTGTCAACAAGCAAAATGGGTATGCCCCTGGTCCCTGCTCAGGGTCTGAGTCACATATAGCCCCCTCACTGCCACCACACACACACTCAGCCTCTGTCAGTCAGAGTTCTTTGTAAGTGGCAGGAACTGACTCAGGCTGATCTGCTAACACGATTTGGGATGGCTCCTGGAGTTTTGGAAGGCCTGGAGAACCATGTGAACCCTAAGTCAGGAACAGCTTGAGTCATCCTGTGAAACTGATGTGATGCCGGGCTGCTATCTCAGGCCCTGAGTGTTGCAAACTCTTGTCGTTAACACCCACTCATCAGCCCACCTCCCTAGCCATTTGATTCAGTGCCTGCACTTAGCAAACACCTCCTGTTCTTCTGGGTCACCAGATCTTCATTCCAGTTTTGGCAGCAGGCCAAGGTATTACACTAGTCCCCTGATGCAAGGAAAGCCAGAAAATCAGCTTCCCCTCCCACTAAGGATTAACTCCCCAGACACAGAATGCAGTGCTGGCCACTGAAAAGAGTGCATAGTCTTTCCCCCAGTATCCTGTGTGCTCTAGTAACCTGCTGGTTGTAAATCTCTTTAGCATCAGAAGCCTCACTCTGAATTTAGCAGCCTATCACCATAGCCTCTAAAAGCACCCTACATTCAAATATACTCTTGGTTTTGTCTGTGTATAGTCAGGGTGTGGCTTGTAAGAGAATGTTGTTAGTTTTTTATTACTCTTTATTCTTTGGTTCTTTTGGGGGGCTTGCTACCAGCTCCAAAATACATGCACATATAGGCTTATTCTTTCTTATAAATGCCCAGCCTTAGTTTGGCTTGTTTCCAGCCAGCTTTTCTTTAATTATCCTGTTTATCTTTTGCCTCTGTATCCCTTTTCTTTCCTTCTTACTCTCTGTCTGGCTGTGTAGCTGCGTGCCTGGCCCCTGGCGCCCTCCTCCTTTTCTGGTTCTTAGATCCATTTCTTCCCAGATTTCTCCTATTTATTCTCTCTGCCTGCCAGCCCTGCCTATCCTTTCTCCTGCCTTGTTATTATTGGCTGTTCAGCTCTTTATTAGACCAGTCAGGTGTTGTAGACAGGCAAAGTAACATAGCTTCACAGAGTTAAAGAAATACAATATGAAAGAATGCAACACACCTTGCATTATTAAACAAATGTTCCACAGCATAAACAAATGTAACACATTTGTTAAAATAATATTCTACAGCAGGAGAATGTGACCTTGCCTGCTTTTCACACCCCAGGCTCCTAGTGCTTATAGTTTGGAAGTGATTGACCGTGACTTAGGGAATGGGTCAGCTTCTCTTGAAAAGCATATGTGTTTCTGTGAATTAAAATTCCTCATGAAAGGCTGGACGATGGTGGCACACGTGTGCCTTTAGTCCCAGCACTCGGGAGGCAGAGGCAGGCAGGTCTCTGTGAGTTCGAGGCCAGCCTGGTCTACAAACCTACACATGGAAACCCTGTCTTGAAAAATCAGAAAAAAGAAATTCTCATGAGCCTGTTTTAATTTTCATCCAGGTAACACTCTAGGCTGGAAGTTGAATAAGTGTTCTATATGTATGATTCCCTGTATTGAGCAAAACCCCCTTTCAAATACTAGGAGTTACTCTCTGAATCTGTGTTTGAGTATTTACTGGCTAGTTTTCTGAGCCATAAAAGAAGCTCCATCAGTGTAGGTTCTGGATGCAGACAGCCTGGGAGCATCACTGTTGGCAAGTTCTGTCACTCCTTCCAGGCTGTGTCCACCTCCATTGAAGAGTGTGGGGAACTGTTCAGAAATGGCAAATTCAAGGCATTCAGTACCTGGAACACTAGCTTTCCCTTCTCTTCCCTCTTTCAGTGAATTATTTGTTCAAGGATTTAACTTTATGTTTTTATTTGTTCCAGTAGGTGGCAAGTGGGAGAAACCATCAGAAATTTTGGAAATCAAGGGACAGAACTGGGAAGAACAAGTGAATAGCCTGCCTGAAGTGTTCAGGAAAGCTGGCTTTGTCATCGAAGCTTTCACTAGACTGCCATACCTGTGTGAAGGAGACATGTACAATGACTACTACGTTCTGGATGACGCTGTCTTTGTTCTCAGACCAGTGTAGACATATGGAGGCCTAAGCCTTCAGAGTCCACCCTGGAATCTGCCCTCCAGAAGAGGGGCTGTGTGCAGTGATGTGAGGGGGACTGCCTCTGGGGGCTGCCATTCTCAGTATCGTGTAGGAATTTTAAAAGCCAAAATACTAATTCTTTCTTTGTAGTGTGTAAAGGAGTGTTTTTAAAAACAAAACGCCAACTCTTTGTGTATTTTTAATCAACTCTTTACTCAGAGTCAAGCTCCAATGCAGGTCACTCTCCAATTATGATGGAAGATATTTTTTATACTTAATTGCTGTAGGGACTCATTCCCAGACAGAGCAATAGTCATGATGTCATGGAACTGATAAATGGATTGTTTTTAATAAATGAAGACTGGCAATAAAGCTGTCCATTGAATTCCAAATATTGGTTATAAGGTAGAGCCACTGATAACTCTTTCATGTTTAGAAACTCCTTCTGTTACTATTCAAAAAATGTTTTTAATCATGCTAATAAACGTTTTTGGAGATGACTTTGGCACCATGTTATATTCTGTGTGGTTTTGGCCTCAGGAATGCCCATCAGGAGCCTGGTTTGAAGCATGCGGGCTGAGCTGATGGGGGAAGGCCAGCTTTAGTTTGGGCATGTGGAGAATGTGCTGTGGAGAACCTCAGGCAGTTTTGACATCCATAGAATGACTGGCTTCAATCAGATACAGGAAGTACCACCCTCAGTCAGGGTTGGTGAAACATCTGCTTCTGGCTAGCCCTTCCCACGGCTTCAATCAGATACAGTGCTCTAGGAAGTAACACCCTCAGTCAGGGTTGGTGAAACATCTGCTTCTGGCTAGCCCTTCCCACAGCTGTTTTCATAGACTACCTTGTGTCCTTAGGATTGAAGCATTCCGTCAAATTGACTGACACAGGATACAGCCTAAAGTGTCTTTATTGGACTTCTTCCTCTTCCTCATATGCCTCATTCCCAGATCTTGGCCTATCCCCAAGTCTTTAACTGAGTTTTGTATTTGCCAAGAATATGTATGTTTGCTGAAGACCATAGCAGACGAGTGCTAGAATGCAGGCGTGCCTCCAGGAAACCCAGAAACATGGTGATAGAGGAGACCTCATTAGCAAGATCAGTACCATTGTGGATATTCCAAAGAGCAGACTGCTTACAGCGGTCACAGCAATGTCTGAAGTGTGTGTAGTCACAATGTATTGCCCAGGTGTTCACTAACTAGTCACATTTACACAGAAATTGTGAAGTCACATTTAATGACAACACCTGGGTGAAAGGGCCATAGAGTGTAATTAGGAACAGCACCTCCACATCCCTACCTCAGCAGCCCTCCACTGCTACTGTGTAGTCATAAGAGGGGTCATGCAAATGGCTGATGCAGATCATTAGTGGTGTGTTCTAGTGATTTTATTTTTCAGGACACGAGGTACATGTGAAATGGAGGAGCAGAACAACCCTAACATACTTATTTTGCAGTGGGGACTTACTGCTTTAGCTGGCATCATTAGGGACTGCTGTTAAATCTTGCCAAACCAGGGAAGGGTGAAGTTGAGGTCTCTTGAAAAAGACCACAGAAAAGCAGAAAGAGCATTTATGCATTCTAAGGACAATTACAAAAAATCTGAGGTTCTCTGAAGACCAGTTTATTTGAAATGCTGGGTTTTTTTTTTGGCTTGGAAACCAGATGTGTTCTTATTTGCAATCTGGGCTGGGAAGTCTTCGCACTTTGTCACCGTTGGCCACTAGATGGCAGTGTTGCTTACTGACTGGCGTTTTTTTTGGCTTGGAAACCAGATGTGTTCATATTTGCAATCTGGGCTGGGAAGTCTTTGCACTTTGTCACCGTTGGCCACTAGATGGCAGTGTTGCTTACTGACTGGCAATGGTTCACCTGCCATAGAATCTTGCTGTTCTCTGCAAGAATAATAATGCTGCCTTGTGTGCACCATTCCTGGCATAAGTGCTTCAGATCCAGTTAAGGTTGTGTCTGAGAAACCAAGAGCTCCATCTATGGTCAGGCAGGCTTGCCAGTTGACCCTAAAGGTGAGTGGAGAAAGGAAACACAACTGGCACCTGGGATTCCTGGTGCCCTGCACCTGCATTCAAAACCCCTGGAGTGTTGAGAGCACTGATTACAGAGAAGGGAGGGGAAGAGGACACAATGTCTGTAGTCATTTCCCCCTTGGATGAGGTCATTAAAACCTACACTGTATTTTCCACCATCCTGTTTGAACTGTCAGCTGGCTTTGTTTGTTTGTTTGTTTTGTGTAGCCACCTTGCAACAGGAAACAAGCTTGGCTGGGAAATGAGTGAAACTGAGTTGTTCCCAGTCATTTACATTGTATAGAAGTTAGGTGTTGACACCACAGAGCACAAACTAGGGCTTCTGATTGGCTTGAAGAAACCAGAATGCTCACAGACTCACAGGCCATGTCTCAAAAATACAGTGGATTGAATAAATGTTGAGCCAGCGTGAAGACTGGAACTTAGATCCCCAGGGAGTCATGAAGACCTTGGAGTCCTAGCATGTGGGGGTCAGCAATCGTTGGAGCAAGATGGCTCCCCCATGTAAGCTCCAGATTCAGTGAGAGACCCGGCCTCAGATTATAAAGTGGAGTACAATTGAAGCTACCAGCAATCAGCTTCGGACCTCAGGACATACAAGGTACTTCACACCCAAACACACAGGAACACACACAAAGCACGATGGAAGAAGTTTATATTGTATCCACCTGAAGAAATACTTCTGATGTAAATGGGGGAAAAATCCACCCTGAAATTGCAGTCCTGTGATATGGAATTCTGAGGTCTCTTGTAACTAATAGGTAATTAGTCACTAAGGCTGTGAACAGTGCTTATAGAGACTCACAGATTGCAGCTATATCACATTTTGCTTTATCTGTCTACCTTCTAGGTTGGAGTTCCAAAAATTTAGTAGTATCTTAATTTTGAATTATTTAAAAAAGTAAACTGACTTGGGACTAGTTCTAGGTTTCTAAAAATAAGAGTTCTTAGCTGATTTAGCTCTCATCTAGGGGGTCCTAATGCTCCTGTTTGATGGACCCATCCCATGTTCCAGGCTGTCAGGTTTTGCTACTTTTCCTAATGGTCTTTCCCTATCCTCAGTTCCCATTCAGGGTGCCCCACTCCAGTAGCTGGTTTTTTTGTTTGTTTTGTTTTGTTTTTTTCTTTTTCAAAGATTTATTTCTATGTGTGTAAGTAAGCGTTTTTGCTTTCATGTGTACATGTGCTGGTGTGTGTGCCTGGTGCAAGGGGAGGTCAAAAGAGAGTTCCAGGTTTGTACTGGAGTTGTAGTCCATTGTAAGCCACCATGTGATTGCCAAGAACTGAACCCAGGTCCTCTGGAAGAGCTGCCAGCTGATTTTGTTTTTAATTATCAATGCTCACTGAAATAGAATGTCACCATTTTCTTTTTTCCACTTTTTATGTAGTCAAATACATGTAACATAGATTAACCAACCACTGACCATTTTCAATGATGTTTAGTAAACTCTAAAGGTGCAATCTTTCCCCTCATGTCTCTAGAACACTTCATTTTGTCAAACTGGAAACTTCCAATTAAACTGCATATCCAGGTTCCACCCTACTATATTCAAAGTAAAATAACACCCCCACACACACACAGAGGTGGGGGAGACAGATGGTTCTGTATCTGCAGGGAACCTAAAGTCATGAAAGTAGAATGCTTATCCATTTTTCTACTGACAGAGTGCTTCCAGATTTCAGATGTTGTGAACAATCCAGCTGTGTATATGAATGTATAAATAGTTCTTCAAGTCTTCAATTTTTGGGAGCAGATACAAAAAGTGGAACTGCTGTAACACATATTGTAACTTATTCTAGTTTCAGTTTTTTGTGGAACTATAATGATGAAATCATTTTATATTCCCACCAACAATGCCCAGAGTTCGAATTTCCCCACATGCTTGCCAACACTTATTTTAGCTAGTAGCTGCCCAATGCATATAAGGTGGTACAGTTTGGTTCTCATTCCCTAAGGATTAGTGCATCATAATTAGTTCAACTTGGGGCATTTGGCTTTATTTCCTGGTAAAGTGTTCTTTGTAAATATCTACTGGTACCACTGAACAACAGAATCCTTTTTCTCTATGAAATCTTAGACCTCTCTGGAGAATTGGGAGAATGTTATTACATAACTAGAATTTAAGACTCCCTTTGGGTTTGAAAGTCAGTATGACCTATTCAGATGAATTGATGCCTTCAGTATAAAGTCACTTTTAAATTGCTTCTAATACCTGTAAGATGGTGACATACCATTGGATATCTGCACTTCAGTTCTAGAACAGAAATAATAGATAGGATGTCTACATGCTGTTGTCATGTTCCCTGTTAGGACCTGACACAATATTTATTTATTTTTTGAGATGGGGGGGGGGTCATGCTGTGTTTCCAGGCTGGTCTCAAACTCAAGGGTTTGTTTGGAGTGCTCCTTGAGTGGAGGGAACTGTAGCTTTGTGTCACTGCCTTGGCTGGAGTATTGTGTTTAAAAGCCTGTGACCCCCCAGCCCTCTCCCAGTGGTGGGTTGAAGTGTCCAGGACTATGTGGCCAATCTCCTTAAGCTCACAGTGTCAGTTTCTCAGCACTTGTGTTTGGCACTCCTATGGCTGTTACTGGTCACAAAGCCCTGCTGAGCTTTTGCATTCCAAAAATCATCTTAACCAGGGAGAAGAAATATGCAAAAAGAAGACAATGAAAAGGATCCTCACCTGTTTGGTTTGTAGCTGAGTATACCACTGGCCCACGTTTTGGTAGGTATCTTTGCAGGGCTCTCCAGTGCATGTGAGTGTGTGTCTGGTCACGTGTCCCTCCATGCTGTGACAAATGCTTTTATTGCTCTAGAAGAAATCGTGCACAGTTCACAGGTTTCTAGTTAGAAGCTGACAACAGATGCAAGATGTTTCCTATCATTCAGGGCTTGAGAACAAACTGAACCAAAGCCTGGGGGACAGAAGGATGGTTTTGAGGATGCTGGAGAAAGAATATAAAAATCCATTGATCGGCATTAGAACACCTCAGTGGGTCTTTTCTGAAGAGAATGTTTAATTTTGTTGTGACAAAATAATGCAAAAATTAGGATGATTGAGATGTTTCATTAAATGGGAGAATTGCAAGAGAGTCCCCCGGGTCCATAATTTTATTTTCACTGGGTAAGATGAAAAACAGGTATGTGCATAATCTTACTGATTCAAACCCATTATTTTAATGTATTTGTATCTCATTTTAATAAAAGCACATATATTAGTTCTTGGCTTTTGGAGATGAAAGTTTTTTTTGTACATGTTTTTATTATATGATCTTTCTTAAAAGACAGTTCTTCCATGTGGGGATGGGACACAGAGCTAGCACATGCTAGGCTCATTCTCACTGAGCTGCACCTGCAGCCCAAGACTATTCTCATGGGAGTATACTCACGCGGGCGATGGATGGCCATGTAGCCACTAGCTTGATGCTGAACACCTAAGATGGATCTC